AGATGCTCGAAAAACACCAGAGGCCAGTCTCGAGAGGCTGGTACCCCTAGTAGATTTTGTAGAGGCATGGTATCATCTTCCCAACATATCTGCATGGGTCCTGCATATAATAAAATCAGGGTACAGACTGCAGTTCGCGCGCTGCCCCCCCAGGTTTTCAGGGGTAGTGCAGACTACAGTGGTTCCAGAGCAGGCTCAGGTGATGGAACAGGAGGTACAGACTCTGCTGCTAAAGGAAGCCATAGAACGTGTTCTTCCTTTGGACAGGGAGTCCGGGTTTTACAGCCGGTACTTTATAGTTCCAAAGAAGGATGGGGGGTTAAGGCCAATTTTAGATCTCAGGGTTTTGAACCGGTCTCTGAGGAGGTTCAGGTTCAAAATGCTAACCATTCCTGCAATCGTGAGTCAGATCAGGTCCGAGGACTGGTTTGTCATGATAGATCTAAAAGACGCTTATTTTCACATCTCCATCCTTCCATGTCACAGGAGATACCTGAGGTTCGCTTTCGGGGGCGAAGCTTACCAATATCGGGTTCTTCCGTTCGGCCTAGCTCTCTCTCCCCGCACATTCACCAAATGTATGGATGTAGCCCTTGCTCCACTGAGACTTCAAGGCATTCGTATATTGAATTATCTCGACGACTGGCTCATTCTGGCTCAGTCTCGGGAGATGGCAGTTCGGCATCGAGATGTCGTCCTTGGCCACATTCAGAAATTGGGGTTGAGACTCAATACAAAGAAAAGTGTGCTAGAACCATCCCAGTGCACGATGTTTTTGGGAGTCGTGTGGAACTCGATTACGATGCAGGCACGAATGTCTCCCGCACGTATCGAGTCAATTCTGGGGATGGTATCCAGGTTAAAGCTAGGCCAAGCCATCACTGTAAAGCAATTTCAAAGAATGCTGGGCCTCATGGCAGCGGCATCCAACATCATTCCTTTGGGCCTTCTACACATGAGGCCCCTTCAGTGGTGGTTAAAAACCAAGGGGTTTTCTCCCAAGGGAAATCCGTTTCGTATGATCAGAGTAACGCGCAGATGCCTTCGTTCTCTACAAATATGGAAGAAACCTTGGTTTCTGTCCCAAGGGCCAGTGTTGGGAGTGTCTTGTCGCCGGAAAACCGTTTCGACAGACGCCTCCCTCACTGGCTGGGGCGCGGTCATGGACGGCCGCTTTGCCAGGGGTCTGTGGCAGGACCATCATCATTCTTGGCATATAAATTGCCTGGAGATGATGGCTGTGTTCAGGGCTCTGAGGAGCTTCCTCCCAGACATCAAAGGTCACCATGTATTAGTACGATCAGACAATACGTCAGTGGTAGCCTATCTGAACCGACAAGGGGGACTCAGATCGCGCCCTCTGTGCAGACTGGCGCATCAGATTATTCTTTGGTCCCAGGGGAAAATACTGTCTATCAGAGCAATGTATATTCCGGGGGTTCAGAATCAGGGAGCAGACATCCTGTCAAGGCAGGGGCTGAGGCCCGGGGAATGGAGACTTCACCCAGAGGTGGTGAAGTTAATATGGGAGAGGTTTGGACCGTTGGAAGTGGACCTGTTTGCGTCTCGAGAGACGTCCCACTGTCCACTTTGGTTCTCCCTCTCACATCCAGCCCCACTGGGGTTGGATGCCATGGTACAGGCCTGGCCGAGGCTTCGCCTGTACGCTTTTCCCCCGATCGCTCTGCTTCCGGGAGTCCTGGAGAGGGTCCGTCAGGAGGACATCAGTTTACTTCTGGTTGCCCCAAGGTGGCCGACCCGAGTATGGTTTTCAGACATAATATCACTCCTGATAGCTCCGCCATGGCAGATTCCTCTGAGGAGGGATCTGTTGTCTCAAGCGGAGGGCACAGTCTTCCACCCTCACCCAGAGCTGTGGAAGCTGTGGGTCTGGCCTCTGAGGGGGTTCAGTACCTAGATGCTGGTCTATCAGCCGGAGTGGTTGAAACCATACTTAGTTCTAGGGCTCCATCTACTAGGAGATTATATGGCCTCAAGTGGAATGTTTTTTCCGCTTGGTGTAGAGAACAGGAGTTAGATCCAGTTAACTGCCCAGTGGCTTCAGTTCTGGAGTTTCTTCAAAATCGTTTCTCTGCGGGTCTCTCCCCTTCCACACTTAAGGTGTACGTGGCTGCCATTGCGGCTTTCCATGCACCATTGAGTGAGGGGCCTCTGGGGAGGCACCAGTTGGTCATTCGGTTTCTCCGTGGTACTCGGAGGATGAGACCGACAACCAGGTCCAGGGTTCCTACCTGGGACCTGGCAATAGTTCTTGAAGGGTTATCCCTGGCCCCCTTCGAACCTTTGCAGTCGGCTTCGCCTAAGGACTTGACGCTAAAAGTGGTATTTCTCTTGGCTATTACCTCACTTAAGAGGGTGGGAGATCTCCAAGCCCTGGCAGTGACACCAGCTTGCTTGGAGTTTGCCCCTGGCAGAGTAAAAGCTTTTTTGCACCCGAGTCCGGGCTATGTGCCTAAAGTTCCATCTAGTACGGCTCGGTCTACAGTCCTTCAGGCATTCCATCCTCCACCTCATGTGTCGGCAGAAGAAGAGAAGCTTCATTTGCTCTGCCCCGTCAGAGCTTTGAGCGTGTACCTTGAGAGGTCCTCTTCTTGGAGAAGGTCGGACCAATTATTAGTATGTTTTGGGTCACCTAAGAAGGGGCTCCCAGCATCCAAGCAGACTATTAGTAATTGGATTGTTCAAGCTATTTCTGAGGCTTACAAGGTGCGCAACTTGCCTTCACCTTTAGCCGTGAGGGCTCATTCAACTAGAGGCATGGCTTCCTCTAGGGCCCTTCTTTCGGGAGTACCCCTACAGGAGATCTGTGAGGCAGCCGGTTGGGCTACTCCACATACTTTTATTAGGTTCTACAGTCTCCACCTTCCTAGTACGCCTGGTGCACACGTGCTTAGTCCTCGCTGAGTGCCTAGACAGTTTCACTCCGGGACAGGCCTATTCGGTGCGTGGCCTAGTGGGCACTCGTTCCCCAAAGAGTCGATTCTCGACGCAGTGTTAAGTTCCCTCGAAAGGGAACGTCTCGGGTTATGACTATAACCCTTGTTCCCTGAGAAGGGAACGAGACACTGCGTCGTTCTGCCACGCCCCTTAAGGCCTGAGAGCGGCTTGCTTCATCGCTAGGCTAGTTTGTGTTTGTTCCGGCGTAGCTTTTATGCATCCGGTTATGCCGTCACATGTTACGTCATGACGCAACACCAATCAGGATTGGAATAGTTTCATTCATACTTCAGAGGCGCACGCTAAGGGAGCGTCCCCAAAGAGTCGATTCTCGACGCAGTGTCTCGTTCCCTTCTCAGGGAACAAGGGTTATAGTCATAACCCGAGACGGTTTGTTTATCAGTATCATAGCAACGCTAACTTCCGCTGAAATTGTCGGATAGGAACCGTCCGTAGCTTTTCGCAAGAGTTAAATTTTTTGAACGCATCCGGATGACCAACGGACACGATTTCCTTCGCACCGCACTCGGTCGGACCCGTTTCGGACCCATTCGCATGCGGTCTGCGAATCTCCATAGGAAATGAATGACTTCCGGTCGTTTCGGAGCCGTATCGGAGATGATTTCAACTGCCAGTGTGAAGGCGGCGTTAGGGAAGCTCGGCGCGTCTCTTTAAGGACACTTAGGTTCACGCCCCTTCTGGCATGAAGGCACCAATCAGCTGGGGGGGGGCGAGGTACGAATGGTTGTCCATTTGTTGAAGACAACGCTAGCTTGTTCCAAATGTGTCATGTGCTAGCCATAGTGGCACCAATCTGGTTAACATGCCCGAAGGGGGTCGTATACAGAATGCCCCCTTTGTTTACTCACGAAGAACTGACCTTTGTTTGCAAATCGGGATTCGCTAATTTAGATACATCTCTCCGGATACCCTGTCAGAGTCACTACAATGTGAATAAAAGCTTAAATTCAATCTGTTCATAGAGTCTCTTCAGAAAATTTGGACTAAACGGCTCAATTCATGGATTAGTTTTAAGATCTCTTAATGAAGTTTTTGAAGCGTCAGATTGGTATTGTTTAGCTGTCTATGGAAGGACAGAAAGCAGATTTCATCAAAAACATCTTCATTTGTGTTCCGAAGATGAAAGGAAGTCTTACAGGTTTGTGACGACATGAGGGTGAGTAAATGATGCCAATTTTCATTTTTGGGTGAATTAAGCCTTTAACTTCTGGCTTAATCTAAACCCTCTCTGTGAAACCAGGACTAGCTGCTATAATCTCAGGAAAATGAATGACATTTGACAAGTCACATGGGAAACAACTAGCAATTTTTTGTTCCCAGTACGTTCTGGGAAAGAAAAAAAGAGAACATTCATATTTGATTGCCATATGGAAACATTCCGTTTGCTGCAGCAGCAGATTGGAAATTGAATTGTGAAAAAACTGTAAGGGTACACAAATAAGTTTTTCTGTTTAGTGTAGATTACATGACGTGAGATTAGCACTTAAGAATTATATATATTTTTTTACATTCTTGTCATTCAAAATCAGTTTGCTACAGTATTTCTCAGAACCCACCCACTTATAATTCAGATGGAACAATTGTTCACTCACTATTGTATTGATACTAATTTCTCCTTTATCGGTGCCAAAACATACTGTAGACATGCAAGAATTGATTTATAGCAATAAAAGAATAATAATAAAACAAGATTGACGAATCATCAATTTGCATGTAGTTTCCCCAAGCACTTCCCAACAGGAAGGCCAATAGTTCAAATTAATACAGCTGAATATAAAGCATATTAACCCAAGCTTAAAACATCAACAACAAAAATCATGTGCATTAAATGAGCACATTGAATAAAGAAATACTTTGAAGTCAAATAGTGCGTCACCACATTATATAGCTTATGTTTAGCAAAAACTTATGTGCAAACAGTACAGAGCACTCAACTGAGCTTACATTCATATCCAGATTCATCTATACAAGTAAACAATTAACATTTATATGTTCAAGGTACACTATTTTAACATTTATTAAAACAAAAAATATATACTTTTGTAAAAAGCACAAATGTAAAGTGTGAATGTAAATATGACTGGAATTCACCTTAAATCCAATGACATGAATATACCCACTGAAATCCACCCACAATACCCTCTTCCGATGTTTTCAATAACTGTAACTAAATAAAGCTAAGGTACAAATATAAAAATTGGGTGGTAAAATACTGATTTAAAACACAAGCATTGCCTTAATAGTACCATTTGTCTTTATATAACAAACACATCTACTCATTCTTCCCTGTTCAATATTCAAAGGACAGCCTTTTTCTTATAAAACTGCCTATTATTAAACCATAAATCTATCCTGTCTGCCATTCCAACAGGATATTTTCACCACTCTCATTAAAGAAATTAAAATTGAATTTACTCGTATAACAATCACTTTTTAAATTGGAAAATAAATGTATACATTTTTCACTGTTCAACAATAAAAATATTATTTTTAATAGTAAGGATGCTGAAGCAAGTACAACATCACAAGTGTTTTTAAAGACACAGTCACTTCTTCTCTCTCTCTCATTAAGTCATCACTGTCCCACCCAGCAGGACCCTGGAGAAACTGAGAGGCTGCAGATCAGGAAGTCCACTGGAGGAAGGAGGGGCTTCGGGAGATTGACAGGGTAGAAGGCTGAGCCTGTGTGTGTGGTGAAGTTCACTTTATTGGGGTCGGGGCAAGAGGATACATACACCTGATCCAAGCATGGTGGGCTAAATAAGAGGATAGGAAGAAAAAAAAGAAAAAAAAAAAGACATGATGCAAGGTGAAGGAAACCTACAAAAACAGTAGTGTTGTTCAAAGCAAAATGCAGTGACCACTCAGAACACCTCAGCAACCACATAGCAACACCCTGTCATGGTATGCCTACTTACACGTTCTCTTCACACACTCGGACTCTCTCACAGCCCTCTGGCGGATCTCTCTGGAAGCAGTAGCTGTTATTAGGCCGTGGTGATGAGGACAACATCAGGATACATGAGTTTACCTCCCCAACTGAGCAGGACAGAGCAGGGTCACAGTCAGTTAAAATCAGACAAGAATACATAGTAAGTTGTTTATAAACTTAAAAAAAAATGCGACAATATATTTCTTGTATGTTTTTTAATAGTTGTCAGTTCCATATACTAACATTCTATTATTATAATTAATTATCATTATGATTTGGTGAGTGAAACTAACCCAAACTGGTTTTAATAATATCAATTTGGTACATTACTATAATATTAAAGGTTAAAATTAACGGATTTGTATAGGCTACTTAATAATAATGTTATAGAAATTACATTTTAATAATAATAATAGATTTTATTTATAAAAGTGCCTTTCAAGAACCATTTTAACATAATTGTGTTAATGACAATTATGTTTCTACTAATGTTTTGAAATATAAACATTTAAATGGGAGCTGTCATAAAAACATTTCCAGACATCCCATCTCTCCTGGAAGTTCCGGGAGACTCCCGCACATTGATAGCAGCTCCGATGGCCAGAAATTATACACGATATCACTATTATATTTACCATTTAATAAGCCCTAATTAGGCTTATTATTTAGCATTTTAGACTTATTTTGAGCACAAAGTTATTCCTGTAAATGTAATTGATGCAAGTGTAACTGTTTAGTTAATTTTTTTTTTTTTTTTATATCAAGTTATACTTTCACCCATGTGATATAGTTAAGATGTGTGTGGGAATTACTGCTCTGTGGTTGCTGAACTTTTTTGGGAATGTCTAAAATTTTGTGCGCAACAAACACACCCTGTTCAAGCCCTGGTATACAGTACATACTGTACAAAAAGTAAAACAGTTTTACTTAGCTTGCAGCCCTCTGTTGGTGAAAATAATCACTACAAAATTGCTCTGGTAACCTGCAGAGTATGTGGGTCGGGCTTTTTGTTGTGTATTTGAGGGGTGTTTCTGATAGATTTAGTCGGGGACAGGACACCAAAAACCAGGATTGTCTCCGGTAACAGGGGCGTCTGTCCACCGTTATATACAGTGTGAGTTCGGGGAAAAAAAGAGACCTACCAGTATCAAGATCTAAAGGGCGCTGTGGAGTGCAAGATGTGAATGAAGATAAAGAGGACTGGGAAGATACACAAGAAGACTCGATCTGAAACCCACTCCTTGAGCTCAGGTGTGGAACAGGAGCCCTGTGGCCATCAGGAACCTCATATAGCTAAAAAAACAAACAAAAGAAAAACACAAATACAGTTACAAACGTTTCCAGTTGTGCAGGTTTGTAAAAAAACAAACCAAAAAAAACTGAGCATTTGGGCACGGTTATCCAGTTTAAATAATATGCAAATTAGCATGACATCAGCCTTCATAATCAGTTCAAACAGTGAAAAGTGTTAAGAAACTTACTCCACAGTGGTCAACAGGTGAATAATGTATGAAGACTTTCTCCAGCTCCTGATCTAGTCTCTCTTCACTGTGTTGCAGACGTGACGGCAGTCGAGTCAATGATGCAGCTGAGGACTGAGAAGACAGGAAACGCACACATATTGGTACTAGTATGATTACAAGGCATTTCAACTTTTATCTATTGGTTTTAAATTGAGCTAATGATATGTTTTATCCTTTCTATTGTCAGTGGCCACATTCTTTATTAACAGAAACTGAGTTTTCCTATGTTTCCTAAATTTGTATCCCCAAATTGTAGGTGAACAACAAACAGACTTTAAAGGCATGCAATACATCTTCAAATGTACGAATGATGAAAATTACCACATCACAGATATGACACATTTCATGCTCACAATTAAAGATGAAGTTAGCCAAGATAAGGGGGATTTGTTTGAATGTTTATTTATATGCAAGAGCATTAGACAAAAACTAAAAAGATGGTTTCAGTTTTTATATATTTTCAATCCATGCTGGATGTTCTGATTTAACTAAGCCTGGTATGTCTGTCTGTCTGTCTGTCTGTCTGTCTGTCTGTCTGTCTGTCTGTCTGTCTGTCTGTCTGTCTGTCTATCTGTCTGTCTATCTATCTATCTATCAGCAACTAGTTGTTCTCCAATGTGTTCCTGAGTGGATCCACTTTAAGGAGTTGAATCATTAATGCCCTGAAGATAAATGATGGATGTAACAAAGATGAAATTAACTAATTTAATAATTGATGATCTTTACCACGGAACTGTATCAACACTGGACTGACTTCAGCTGAAAAATGAAACTTTTCTTTTAGAGCTGCTGTACAAGTGTACAGCCAAATTGAATGTCTGAATAATTTTCCTGATATCACTTTAAAGATGACTTGACAATATTTATTGCTCATTTCATTGTCAGTGAGTACTGCAGTCTCCTGCATTGTTGTACATGTGTTTAATAAAACTTGTAGTAGCATTTATAATACAAAGTTTACAGTACCAATCTAATAAAGTGCTGTCCATGTCATGTGGCAGAAGGATGACCTTCAATTTGGTGCTAAAACATGTAGTGACGATAGTCAGAAAAACACCTTCATATCCAACTAAAACTAAACTGGAATTAGGAACCATAATACAAAATGAAATAAAAATCTGAAATTAATAACCCTGGATTGTGTGAATTCTGTTTGCAGCAGGCCAGCATGTGTTAAAGCAGAACAGCTTTTGACAACCACTCTTCCTGTTACATTTTGCAATCCTCCACACTTCCTCTAACATTTGTGTACATGTGTCAGAATATATCACTTGAGTGCATTTGAAGGCTTCACCCACAGACCACTAAACTCATTTGAATTTTATGAGCTTTGGTACAGCCAATAATGAGCCCCCTAAACTACAATACAAACAGGATCTTATTCTAATTGCATATGCAAAAATGTGTCGTAGCACACTGATTCGTGAAATGCAATCACATAGATTTTCACGCAAAAACTAGCTAGATAAATAATACAGATAAGAACTAAATGTTTAAATCTTTAAAATAAAAAGTAAAGGCTGTTTGCCTGTGCAAAACTCACTGTCACTATTCTAGGGTGTTGTCATTTTGCTAAGGTGTTGTAAGTGGCTGTTAGCATATTGCTTTGTTAGGAGTTCTGGGTGGTTGCTAACTAAGTAAAAAAAAAAAAAACGATGTCTCTATGATTTGATCCTTGGATATGACTGGGGTCCCTCCTTAAATGCAAGCAACATTTAGGCTCAGCCTCAGAAGTCACGCACATGGACCGAACGTCTGATGCATAAGGGACACAAAATTGGAAGTCGTCATCTGATTTCTACATGATTTCCTGGAGACGTGTGTGTCGCGTTCTTTAATGATCCGCCTGGAAACAAAGCATTTATGACCCCCTCATAAAAGTAGAAAGCCGTCGTGTTTACAACTGTGACAATGAGCACTTATCAGGATCAACTAAATGCTGGATTTTCAGAAGTATGTGAATTTCACAGCATAGTCAAGTCAAGTCAAGTCAAAGATATTTATATAGCGCTTTTCACAATACAGATTGTATCAAAGCTGCTTCACAGTATCAATCAAAACAACTTAACAGTCTTTGTTTATTACTGAAAAAAGACATCCAAGTTTGGTAGAGCTGTAGAGAGACATCCAAGTTTGGTAGAGTCGGGGCCAGTTCTCCTCTGGCGTTTATGAAGTAGAGGCCGAATTTACAGTAACTGTAAGATAAAAAATTTATATGAATGCCTGGCTAAATAGATGCGTCTTTAGTCTAGTTTTAAACTGGGAGAACGAGTCTGAGCAACAAACAATATCAGGAAGCCTATTCCAGAGCTTCGGAGCTAAATGTGAAAATGCTCTCCCTCCTTTGGTGGATCTGGATATCCTAGGAATGACCAGAAGCCTCGAATTTAATGATCTTAAAGAGTGCGATGGATTATAGGGCGATAGAAGATCCGTTAAATAGACTGGAGCTAAACCATTTAGAGCTTTATAAGTCAAAAGCAATTTCTTGTAATTAATACGGAACTTTATAGGTAACCAATGAAGTGATGATAGAATCGGTGTTATATGATCGTATTTTCTTGATCTAGTAAGAACTCTAGCGGCTGCATTTTGGACTAACTGTAGCTTGTTTATTGAAGATGCAGGACAACCAGCTAATAAAGCATTACAGTAATCTAGTCTCGAGGTCATGAATGCATGAACTAACTTTTCTGCATCAGAGACTGATAGCATATTACGTAGCTTAGCAATGTTTCTAAGGTGGAAAAAGGCTGTTTTTGTAACATATGAAATATGCTTTTCAAAAGACAGGTTGCAGTCTAATGTAACACCCAGGTCTTTTACTGTAGCGGATAAAGTAACAGGGCATCCTAATATGTTAAAGTTGTGCAGTGAAAGGTTTTGTGGACGGTTTTTAGAACCGATAAGTATTACCTCTGTCTTGTCTGGATTTAATAAAAGAAAATTACGCGTCATCCAATCTTTTATATCTTTAACACAATCTGTCAATTTGGATAATTTAGCATATTCATCTGGCCGTGATGAAATATATATTTGAGTGTCATCGGCATAACAATGGAAACTAATTTCATGTTTCCTTAGAATATTACCAAGTGGCAGCATATATATTGAGAATAATAAAGGGCCTAACACAGATCCCTGCGGCACTCCATAGTTTGCCGAAGTTATGATCGATTTTTCTCCATTTAAGTAGACGAAATGGTAGCGGTCAGATAAGTATGACCTGAACCAGCTTAATGCTTGTCCTTGAACACCAGTGTAATGTTGTAGTCGATCTAAGAGTATTGTGTGATCTATAGTATCGAACGCAGCACTAAGATCAAGTAAAACTAGTACTGAGATACAGCCTTGGTCCGAAGCTAAAAGTAAATCATTTGTGATTCTAACAAGCGCAGTTTCAGTGCTATGATGTGGCCTGAATCCAGACTGAAACTTTTCATAGATGTCGTTTTCTTGCAAGAAAGAGCCGAGTTGAGCGGACAACTTTTTCTAATATTTTTGACATGAATGGAAGATTTGAGATGAGTCTGTAATTTGCTAGGTTATTTGGATCTAATTGTGGTTTCTTAATAAGAGGTTTTATAACTGCCAGCTTGAACGTTCTTGGAACATGACCTAAAGATAAAGATGAGTTAATAATATTGAGAAGAGGCTCTTCTACTATAGGTAACACTTCTTTCAATAGTTTAGTTGGTATAGGATCTAATAAACATGTTGTTGTTTTAGATGAAGTGATAAGTTTATTTAACTCTTTTTGTTCTATGGTTGTAAAGCATTGTAATTGTTCTTGCGGGGTGATAATTGCGGCTGAATTATAAGGCGCGAGCAAAGATTGAGCGTTTACGATTGTGATTCCGATGCTTTCAATTTTCTCGGTGAAAAAGTTCATGAAATCATTACTACTAAACTGTAACGAGGTATTTTGTTCAGACGACGTCTGTTTATTTGTTAGTCTAGCCACGGTATTAAATAAAAACCTTGGATTATTTCGGTTGTTTTCTATTAGTTTGCTGAGGTGCTCAGCCCTGGCCATTTTAAGGGCCTTTTTATAACGTGACATACTGTCTTTCCACGCGATTCTAAAGACCTCTAAATTAGTTTTTTTCCATTTACGCTCTAAATTACGGGTTTCTCTCTTTAAAACATACGTAGTATTATTGTACCATGGTGCTATACTTTTTTCTCTGACATTTTTTAATCTAATGGGTGCAACAATATCCAATGTTCTAGAGAGAATGGAGCTCATAGTGCTAGTTAATTCGTCTAGTTCATCTGTTTGTTTGGGTTCAGGCAGCAGCTGAGTCAGATCAGATAAGCTATTTGACAAATGATCTATGGTGGATGGAAGAATTGTTCTACCTGGTCGATAACGTGGCGCAGCATGACATATTACAGCAGTATGTAATATGCAAGTTACCATGTAATGGTCCGTGACATCATCACTTTGTGGAATGATATCTATATCGGTTGGATCGGTTCCATATGATATAATTAAATCGAGTGTATGATTAAGACGATGAGTTGGTCCGGTGACGTTTGGCTTGACCCTGAAGGAGTTTAATAAATCTGTGAACGCAGCCCCTAACGCATCATTTGAATTATGTACGTGTATGTTAAAATCTCCAACAATTAATGCTTTATCGACGTTGACCAATAGATCTGATAGAAAGTCTGCAAACTCTTTTAGGAAATCGGTGTAGGGCCCTGGAGGTCTATATACGGTAGCCAATGCTAGAGATAATAGGGATTTTTTTCTTACATCTAAGAGCGTAACATTTAGCACAAGTACTTCAAACGAATTAAACCTATGACGAGTTTTCTGAGTAACATTAAGGATATCTCTGTAGATTGTTGCAACACCGCCGCCACGACCGATCAGACGGGGCTCATGCTTATAACAGTATCCTGGCGGAGTAGACTCATTTAGACCGAAATAATCATTTGGTTTAAGCCAGGTTTCAGTAAGGCACAGAACGTCGAAATTATTATCTGTGACCATTTAATTTACAATAACCGCCTTAAGCCTAGTTCACACTACATGATTTTAAAACGTCGGGCTGAACTGTGCG